AAAATGTGAATAAGTAAACAAAGGAACAGATAGTCCTTAAGGTTGAAGAAGGACTAGCACCCTTCTTCAACTAGTACCTTTTGGGGACATGGAAAGGATGAGGAGTGACATTAGATGATTGCATTTTGCTTGGGGTCCTCACCCTTCTACCAGGGACAGGGAGTGGAGGGTGTGACAGGGGCTCAGGATTTACTGTCAGCATCTGGGATTTTGAAAATCTTGTGGCCCTCAAAGTCACTGAGGTCCTCAGGTAGAGGTGGAGTGAGACACTGCCAGTGTGGAGGTCCCCTTTGCATCACCCCCTGCGCAGCTTCTCTCCTGTGAGGTTGAGGAAATGAGGACAGCTGTATGCACCAAGAGGTGTGGGGGGTGGTTGTGGAGAAAGGAGAATTTTAGGTCTGAACAGTGAGGGGCACTGGAAGTGATAGAACAGAGGAGCAGAGGTGGCTGAAGAGGTGCAAACCAAGGAACGCATAGACTGGGAGCTGGAGCAGGAAGCTTGAAACTGCTTCTTGGGGAGGCCACTAATCATGTTTTATTTTTAAGCCATCAACTAGCTGATGGGAATGGTTTTCCATCATCTCACTCTTATTATTTGTTATTCTTTATTATTACTCTTGATAAATTCAAACACTTCCCAGTTCCTTGGTGGAAAGCCAGACCCTCCCTAGCCCATGGTCATTTTTGGCCTCAGGGTTCCTCTACCCGAATGATGACTGACCATTTTCTTCTTTGCCAGGCCAGCAAAGGTTGGGATCTTCCCAAGGCATTTTCTATGAGGATTCTAGGGTTTAAGAAGGGAGACAGAAAAGGCCCCGTGTGATGGGTCTGCAGCCTGCAACACTGTGAGTGGCATTAGGGTTGATGAGCACTGGTGGCCTTTTCCTCCCAGGGCGAGTTTCATGATCAGCTTGCTTGGCTTGGCTCTGGTGCCCAGTTGCTTTGTTCAAACACCAGTCTAGATGATCTTGAAAACATATTTTTTACGTGGTTAACATTTAAATCAGTACTCTTGGATTAAAGAGGATTAATTTCCCTAATGTGGATAGATCTCATTTAGGTTGAAGACCTTAAGAGTAAAAGTTGAGATTTCCTGGAGAAGACATTATTCCTCCAGACTAAACCTGAATATTACTCTTACTAGAATTCTCAACCAGCTGCCAGCCTGTACAGGAGATGTCAGACTTAGCTTCCAAATCCATGGAATCTCAATCTCTCTCCTCTCCCTCTCCCCACCCCCTACTCTCTCTCTCTCTCTCTTTCTCTCTCTCTCTCTCTCACACACACACACACACACAAACTCTCTCTCTCTCTCTCTCTCTCTCTCTCTCTCTCTCTCTCTAGCAAAATCCTGACAAGTAGGGACAAAAGTGTCTTCTTCTGAGGGTGACAGGCGAGTCCCTACCTTGGGTCTCCGAACACCTATTCCCTTTCCTCCTGGGCTCCCCTGGTCTCATGCTGGGAACAGGCCTCGTGGGGATCTTACTTTCTGCTCCCAGGTTGCTTGTCTCCTTCTGTTGTCCCTGTCCTGGGTCTGTGAGGCAAATCTGTCTCTTGGCTTTTTGAGTAAAAAGGCATTTTCCCGACTACACCCGTTATAGTTTCCCAACTTCTCTCTCTATTTCACTGTCTTTGTCTTTGTCCCTCTCAGTCTCTTTCCCTCTTCTGGTTTCTCCCTTTCCTTCTCCCCAGCTCTGCTTTTATCCCTCTGTCTTTGCCCATCTCCTCCCTTTCTCCCTTTCCTTCCTGGCTGCCCTGAGGCAAGCTGCATTCCTCTATCGTTCTGTGTTACCTTGATGTTCTGCCTCATTACCTCAGGCCTATAGCAGTGGAGCAAAAAAAGCTAACACAGATCCAAATGCTTTCTGAACCCTTGTTGGGAGGCCATCAACTGACCCTGTAGGCAAGTAGATCATGTCTGTGGCATGATCATATGGAAGCTTTGCTTGAAGCACTTTTTGCTAGTATCTATTTTCTTGTAATGTATTTACTGGTTGGCTCATATCTGGTTTTGCCTTGGGTAAAAAGCGTTCCTACTCTAAGGGTGTAATACTCAGACACCAGCTTTCATTTCTGAAGATGTGTTGGTTTAGCTTCTTTGTACAGCTTCTAGGTTCTGAAAGAAGGATACATGATTGATTCTCTCTCACTTAGCTATTGCAGTGTCCAGCAAGTCCACTACTTACCTTATTTGACTCCTACAATAATTTTGAAAATAGAATAACAAAGAGGTCCTGTAACTTGCCCTGGACCACACAGTTTAAGAATGAAATTCAATCTGAGGTGATCTGAATCCAGAGCCCGAGATCTCAGCCAGGAATGCACGACACCTAGCAATGAGAAAGGAGTTGGGTGATGACCAAAGATGAATTTGGCAGGTACATAAAGGAAAATCAGAGTTGAAGTTAATATAGCAATGTGTAGGAGAAAGTCCTCTATGTGGCTTATTAATGGGCCCTGTATGTATTTGAGGATACCAGTAGCCCATACAACACAGCAAGGAGCCTTCTCTGCACCCACCAACCTGCCAGGCAGAGGTCCTGAGCAACTATGGTGTCCTGGAATCACACAATTTCCAGCCACATCTACCCTCCTGGATTCTCCTGCATGGCTTTTCATGTAGGCTTTGCTTTCCTGGGCTAAGAATCCTACTGCTGTGATTTGGCGAAATTATTTTGTACTTGGTGTGAAAATGACATCTACTTCCCTCAAAGAGAAGGGACATTTTTTTTCAAGGAATAAGGATTTGGGGTTGATGTTGAGCTATGAACTGCTGGGGGCCTGACTCTTTGGAACTCACTCTTTCCCCTCTAGATTAGCCTCACAGTATTTACTCTGGTATCATGTTCCCAGTGAGTGAGGGGCAGATGTCAATAGTATGGAACAAATATGGATATTAACAACTGCCTACATGTATTCTCCTGCAGCAGTTGCTTGAGACAAGAGGAAGGATCCATTTCAATGGAGAGTTTCTCTATTACCCCAGAGCTAAGCAGAGGCTATGTTGCACAGTGCAAAGAGCCTGAGCTCTGAGCTCAGGAATCAGTGACTGTGTGACCTCAAGCAAGTCTTTTAACTTCTCTGAATCACATACAAAAAAAAAAAAAAAAAAAAAAAAAACCCAAACATACCTGAGCTTCTGCAAAGGGCCATTTACTGTACTCTTTGTCCTGGAAATTCAGCAGTGAAAAATTAAGACCTGGGACCAGTACATCCCCCTCTCGCTTCCTCTTCTTCACCATGGCAGATATTTAATAATAGGTATGTCCCAAGGCCGACTTGTAGAGAAGAGTAAGTAGAAGGGCTGGGAAGTGCAAAGGTATACGGATCCCATACAAAGAAATGGTCTCTTCTGTCTAGGTGTCCCTGAATCATGGTTGGCTCCTTTGAAAAGCCAGGGACGTGGACAGACAGTGACAGAGACCATTGTCATTTATCTGCCCCATCATATACAGTGTTAGCTCACCAGAGTCACAAGTTTGCTTTTGCAGAAAAATGGTTGTACCTTCTTCACCATGGAGCAGAGCATCTTCTGTGCTCTAGGTTTGCATCTCAGAGGGAAGCAGATGATGAATTAATGTTAGCAAAATGGGGTTGTGTTCCCCAGTTATGCTGTGCTATTGAACACAGTGGACTAATTCTACTCAGGCCCCAGCACTGTACTCTCCTCCTATTCCTGGGAGGATGGAGATGGAAGTGAGAGATGCATGGGACACATGCACATTGAAATCTCAGAAGCTGCTGAGTAGTGGCTGGAAAGCTCAAGAATTATGTCTTTGAGCCTGGTGTGCTACACACCTGTAATCCCAGCACTCAGGAGGCCTAGGCAGAAAGACCATGAGTCTCAATTTTTTCTTTGAATATGGGAACTTTCTGTAACTCTAGCACACGTGCATGAGCACACACACGCACACGCACGCACGCGTGCCCCATTGTTTATGTGCTTTTGCTTCATGAGTACCAGGCTCCATTTCTTTGTGTGTTCTGGCTGGCCCTACCAGACTGAGGTCTATGTCTTCCTCCTAAGACTGGAGGCCCTGAAGTCAGGGTACCCTGCTATGTACCCAGAAAACTCCTGGTCCTACTGTCATGAAGAGGCACCAGTGGCTTCTGTGTATGCTTGGTTGGGACAGGTTTTTGAGTTATTCTCACTTAATTTGTCTCACTAGTCAGAGAATGGGAACCCTACCCACACACCCAGGGTGCATGGAGTCACAGGGTGAAAATAGGGAAATAGGAGTATGGGGGTGGATATCTTCCTCAGTTTAGAGGGAGTCCAAGGATTGGGGATCATGTGACCTCATCCCCTCAGCATCACTGCAGCCTATGAAAGTTCTACTTCTGGGTTCCATTTTGTTTTCCAGGTCAGGGGCTACCCTCCTATCTCTCCCATGGGTTGGTCTAAAAAGCACTCACTACCTGTGGTCTTCCTTCATTCACCTTTCATCTCTGAAGTGAATGCTGCCTCTCCCAGGGCCCGGCTACCCTCCTATCTCTCCCATGGGTTGGTCTAAAAAGCACTCACTATCTGTGGTCTTCCTTCATTCACCTTTCATCTCTGAAGTGAATGCTGCCTCTCCCAGGGCCTGGCTGAGACATCTTTCATATCCTTCCCAAGGGTGGTGAGGGCAACGACCAGTCTTCTCTCATCCTCATTTTACCCCAGCAATTACCCCATGGCTTAACACATGCTTTGCATAAATGAGTGAGTGTTCTTTTAGGAACGGCTGGTGGTAGGGGTTTCCTGTTCTCAGAAATCACTCTGGAAAGGAGCCTCAACCCATGAAGTCTGCCATAGCCCATCCTCCTTTGGAGGAAAGCTGTATTCTGGGGTCCTAAGGCACTGATAATGATGATGGCTGGACATTAATAAGCTCTAGCTCCACAGAAACTTTTCAAATTCACTCAAAACAACTTAATTGATCTAAGTACCTGCTTTTAAATAGGCCCCTTAAGTTATTCTGTACATACGTGATCAAATAATCAGGTTTATTTGATGATTTAAGGTGTTTTTTTTTTAATTCAGTAAATTTTATTTATATATAACAACAGTACAAATTGTGTCGTTGGCTTGCAAAATAGGAGTTTCGTATTTACAATAGGTACATGATAATATATTAGAATAACAAAAATCCCGCTTTATTGGAACATTTTAAATACTTCATTTTCTTATTTCATAACACCTGTAAAAACAACAAAACCAGACAACCAGAGTTGTACTTTCTTAAAAATAGATATAATACAGATTCCAGTGTGTCATGGGAAGGGGTCTGAGTAGGAGGGGGACGAGGAGAGGCAGGTGGGCTCAGGGTTCTCTTGTGGTGTAAAGAACGTGTCCCTTTCTCTCCCATACACTCAGGAACTTCAGTCCTGTTTGGCGGGGACCATGCCTCATTATGCTCTGATGCCAAAATGGAGGTCAGTAAAGTCAAAGTGATGACCTTGACTGAGCTCTGCAAGAAGCTTCCCACTTCCTTGGATGGGGCTCCTAAGGTTCAGGCAGCACAGAGGCAGGAAGGGAGCAGCCCAGCCTGCCGGGGCTATGTTGGGGAGGAGAGAGAGTTGCGGGTCTGTGGAAGGCAGGGGACCTCCAGTTTGCTTATTGGATTGAGGCCTGTCTGACAGGCACTGGCCTTGATTGTCTCTCAGGACATTCCCTAAACTTAATGAGAAAGTACCAAGAGAAACTTTACCCTTTGATATGGGTGTCACTGGGCTCCAGATGCTAAAATTCTACTCTGGGGAACTAAGAGAAAGGATCGAGAGAGGGGAAAGAGATTAGAGTTATGAAAACAATGCCACTGTCTTCTCCAACCACATTCCTGGGACAGGGTCTGGAGGACCGGACCTTTCTCTCCCAGGCTCCACCCACCGTGGGCTCTGCCCCATACCCTGGATCCCTGAGGCCACCCTGCATTTTCTTACTCTCCTAGCTCTCTGTATCTCAATTCTTCCCTATGTCGAGGTCCCAGAAGTCTTAGCCCCATGACACAGTGTGGCTGGAAAGAAGGGCCTTTCTAGAGTAACTGCTGGCTCACTATCATCAGGAGTAGTTGAGGTTGCAGAAGTGGCAGTTGTGAGGCACCTGGAGACTTGACAGCCAAGGACTCCCGGCCTTCTCTGCTTGCTATGTCAGACACTGCTAGTCTTTGCACAGCCACCACTGCTTCTGCTGAGGGCTCAGCAGGGCCTGGGGTCGTGACTGCTATTTTGTATCCTTATTTGGTAGAATTGAGGGAAGGTCAGGAGCTCAAGCAGCAAAGTGGTGCCTTCTGAAGATCTGGCCGCACTAGAAATGAAAGCAGCTCTCACTGCTGGGGACCTGACCCCAGGATAAGGTAAGGCAGCTGGGTGTCAGACTTCTTCCTTCATGGCACCTCATTTTCTATGCACCTGGTGCCTTCTGCCAGGGAGGGAGGGGAGAACCATCTTGCTGTGTTGGCAGGACCAGCAACTTGGAGAGGATGAATTTTCTGGAAGGATCTTCTTGTCTTGTTTTCAAAACCTTTAGAAGAACCTGGTGGATGACTGCTGCTCTTGAACCTTCTCCAAGTGAATGGATGCAGGACACAGTTCCCTCCTTCTGTGAGGGTCACACTGCATCCATGCTTTGAATGACTGCCCTCCATAAGGAGAGGGGGGTCAGAAGTGATTTTGAGAGTCAGACTGTGGAAAGAGGTAGGATATCAGACACAGAAGTGCCTGACCCACACAGAAGGCAGGAGGTGTTGTCAGGTCCAGAACAGGTTTCCATCTAGTCTACTAGCATCCTATCTCTCCAAGCCCTCCAGAGGCCTACTCCTTTCCCAGAGAACTGGCATTTGGGTAGATCAATACAACAAAGCAAATCTGGGGAAGCTTCGGAGAGAGATTTCTTGCCTCCTCCAAAGACGTATGGCTTCTGGTGGGGAGGGGTTGTGGCTTCAATATATTTTTTAATCAAAAGGCCAAAATATCTTCAAATTGGATAAGAGCAAGAAGAGTAGCCTTCCTCTCCTCTTCTTCATAACCTAGGGAACAGACTCCATTGGTTCTTGTTGGACCAAAGCAAAGGGTTGGTGGAGGGATAGATAATTAGAATGAGAGCAAGATTCAGCAATCACTCACCCCAGCTCTTTCCAGCCAAGTATTCCTTCTTAATTCTCCCTTAGACACACGCTCCTTGGTCATTTTTTCCCCAGCCCAAGTTGCCTCTCTCATGGAATCTTTAACAATATGGCCAGACTGCCACTCATGGCTGGCCCTGCTCCTTTCCATTCTACTCTGATCAGCTGTCCCCGCCATCACCATACACTGTCTACATATCTTCAGTGAAGCATCCCAGAGGCAGTGAGAGGCCACCATATGTGGCTGCTGAGAGACACCACGTAGAAACACTGAGGCGGGGGCGGGGGTGGATGGGTTGGGTAAGATGGTGAGATACTGAACTTCTTTTTACTTCTTGGTGAAACACCACTCTGGACATCAGCCCGAGAAGCAGAAGCTCAGAAAGCCTTTACTTGAACGGATCTGGGAAGGAAAATGAAAGGGTGGAGTCTGTTGTGGGTAGCACCGTCTTCTGTTCACAGTCTTCTTGCCTTCATCTCTTCTTTCATTTTCATAAATTATGGGGTTCTGAGATGATAAGTTTTGGGTGCTGTGAAGAGTAAACACTTTGGCTTAGTGTGGAAGGCCAGTCACTAGTGTTAACAGGGCCCCAAGAAACTTTAGTGTAAGTAGATTATCAGAAGAAAATGGCCTTGCGATGGCTGGTTGTGAATCAGCATGAAATCAGCAAGTTTCCTGAGTATTTTGCTGAATGCATCTCTCCCTGTTTATCAGCTGCATTCAGGCAAGAAACAAGCTGAATAGCCCAGGCAGTGTCTGCTGTGTACGAGACAGCAATTCGAAGACACATGTGTGGAATGGAAGCCACTTTCTTTGCTCCCTTTCTTGCCCTATATTGGGAGTTACGTGTGGTCAACATAGTCTCAGGAAACTGGAATCATTTGAGGGTGTAGCAGGGTACAGAAAAGCTGAGGCTTGAGTTAATTGTGAAGGAAATGACTCTAGTCCAGCTTCTTGTAGGGTAGCTGGTGCCTGCAGCCTGGCATTCCTGATCCTTTGGAAAGCAGAAGGCAGGAAGGGGAGATGGTTTCTCTTCAGCTCTCCCCTCTGCCTTTCTCTTGTCCTTCTATCACTCAGATGATACTTGCAGAGATATTGGAGCTGGCTGCTTGGGTCCATGCTAAAGCAGGAGGACTGGACTCCCTGAGCACCACCCAGTTGCTAATTTCCTGCCCTGCCACCAGAGAGTGCTCCTCCTCTGGGGCCTTTGGACCTGAGGATGGAGCTTTGGCCTCTGTGTGGAAGCTACACTCAGGAGAGCTAGTCATCCAAAGTGTTAGATATTAGGAAACAGAGGAAAAGATAGGTGCCCTTAGAAAATCATCCACTGTCCTTCACATCCATGGGTCCATGGGAGGCAGAGATGACAGTGACGCTGGGATGCCACAGTCATTTCTACTGAGGCAAGTGCAGTGTGCCCAGATTTCTGGATATGAGTGAAGGTTGGCTTCCCCTCCCTAGGCACAAGAGAAAGTGTAATAATAAATACTGCCGCTTCTTAAACCTGTGTTCTTCAAGTATTGCTTACTGTAAACGGTGTTTGAGTTTGTTTTCTTTTTAATTGCCAGAAACCACTGGATGGTTGGAATGGAATCCAAAGGCAAATACCCATGTCCCCAGTCAGCTCCCAGAGCAAACCTGGGGAGGCCTGATCTGTATTGGCCCCCGGGTGCCTGGCATATGACAAAAGGGAACTCTGTTCAGCATCCTCAGGGAGGAGGTGTGAGGCCCACCTCTTCCACTTCTGATGACCACTCTAGGGAAACCAAAGGAAAAGTACAGCTCCTCATTTGTTGAGGCTTGGGATTAAATGAATCAAATGAAAAGACATTCCCATAGGTCATAAATTCTTGATGGGCACAGCCTTCCTCTCAGTAGACAATACGCAGGTGTGTGGCATGGAAAGCTGTTTTCTGTCAGCCAGGGGGGCTGTTCAGCTTCGAGATTCCCACAGAGGCCTGTAGTTCCCAGGCTCTTCTGGCTGTTGTGTGCTCCAAGCCTTCTTGGCTTCTTTGCCAAGCATTTAGTGCGAAATTGTGCTCCTTCCTCCCTTTCCTCCTTTTCCTTTCAGTTCGAGGGAGAGGAGAGCATTTCTATACCAGTTTCTCTCAGCATCTCTCCCTAGGCTTTTTCTGACATTGGGAAAGAGATGTTACAGGAAGGAGAGAGATTACTGAGGAAGGGGACAAATCAGGATTAAACAAAAGTTGGACGGGATTGACAGGGAGGCTTTAGTTTTGTTTTATTTCTGTTTTTTCCCTTTTTCTTAAAAAAAATTAAATAAAGTTCTCATTATTTTCCAATATACATCAAAGGAGTTTTCATGCAAAGCAGCAGTCACAGAGGCAGAACCATCTGGCTCAAGCCTCTCAGCTTGAAGGGCCATCTTCTCCTCGTCCCTGGCATCCCCAGCTCTCACTGCCATGGATGGTGCTTGCTGTCCTCACAGGAACTGGCTGTAACCAAACGTGGCTGTTGTCAAGAGAGGGGCCCTCCCTCTCCCCTGGATGGGGTTTTGGGGGGCGGCCAGCTCTGGGGCCTGGTCTCCTTCACTCGTCCTGTCCTTCCTTCTGAGACTACAGTGTGACAGCTTGGATGGGTCCCTCCTCCAGGAACAGGAAGTCCTCCTCTCAGCTCTCGATGGACATCGCGTTAATGAGATGTTCCACCTTGTAGGCCAGTCGCTGCCGCCGGGCCTGCTCGTCTTGCTCTAGTGCCCCGATGAGCTGAGGGGCAGAACAAAGGTGGGTGACTCAAGAATCATCTTCAAAGACACTGCTTTCTGGAGTCCTCGACCCCCCCCCTTCCCTCTTCCTCTGCATTCTGCCTTTAGGAATTAACATCAAACACTTGGCATGATTAATGAAGAGATCTATGCGCAGTCACGCTTTGCTTAGCCACGCGAAAACTTTTTGAGAAAAGGTTCTTACATGATTTTTTTCACTGGCAGACATCATCCTAGAATGCACTCACACAAGAGAGAGAATGAAACACAGGAGAACATACATGAGATGTCTGAATCTCCTGTCAGCATAACACAACATACTGTTTGGAGGCAAGCACTTTTGTTATAAATAGAAGGAATATACTCTACAAGGGTGATAAGTGTTGGATAGTAAATTAATGCACTAGTCACACCGTAGATTACAATTAAGTGTATAGTCTGCACCTAGTCTTGTATGTTGCACAACCAGCAGCTCAGTAAGTTCATCCACACAGTAGCTCCATAGGGTGTGCTGCATCGTGAGGTTAGGGTGGCTCCGAGATCACTTAGTTTTTCAGCTCCATTTATTTTGGTGGGAACACCACCATATGGGTGACATGTTATATACCATCATGGAGAGCAGACATCTATAGACACATGCAGGAATATGTCCATGTATGTATAGCCCCCATGTGCTTACAGCATATGGAGGAGCTACATAGGTACTAGTTATTATTTGGCTGCTTCTTTCTTTAGGTTCAGTGCTAATGTGTAACCTCTTATCTTCCTAAAGCTGTCCTTGTTAACCTCCATTCATGCCAAAGTCCAGCTGTCTATCTGAAATCTGATTGACAGGTTCTGCCCAAGTACAAACAGATGGTTTGACTCATTGTTTAAGAAAGAATGAAATTAATCATACAACACTTTGAATTGAAAAATGATTAAAAGTGTTTTTATTGTGTTAATTAACAATGAGTGAAATGATATACTGGAAAGTGTTCAATGAATCAGGAAAGATTGGGCTGCCTTGTAAAGGAAAAATGGCAGTTTTGAGCTCAATGGCTTTTATTGTAAAATGTACTCTTTAAGTGAGCTCCCCTCCCCACTGTTGATGTTTCCTGCCTGGATCAAGCTTTCTGCTTAGTAGCCTGGTCCCTGCGGGCTGGTCTCTGGCAGAAGGGACCTGTCTTACCTCCTCACTGTACTTGCTGACATACGAATAGATCTCATTGAGAGCACTCAGCATGTTGAACTCTGTGGCATGCAGACGAGACTGCTCGGCGAGGTAGGCGTTCATGTCCTGGTCACTGATGGCTGGGAGCTTGGCTATGTCTGCATAGTATCTGTTGTGGACAGGAAAGACCCATGATGGGAGCTCAGCAAATATCTGTAGCACCTACTCTGGCTCAGGTCCCTTGGGAGAACCAGGTGGTCCCTACTGCCTCTGCTTTTCCATCTCTTCTCTGACGTGGCTTCTGCTGGCCTGTCTCAAACTGAGGTTTATGTCTAAGGTGCAACTTCTACAAGACACTCCAGTCAGCTAAGAGCTGCTGTGTCCAGAGTGGTTAAGAGTGCAGACTCTGGCCAGACTCCTTGTGTTTATATCCAAGCTCTCCTACCTGCTAGCTGGTGACCTTGGGCAAATAATTATGTAGTTTTTTCTGTGCCTCTGTTTCTTCATTAGTAAAACAGCTATAATCATAGCAGCTACTTGACAACTCCACTGGACATTTTAGTGAGACAATACATATAAAATCTTTATCACAGTATTGGGTGCGTACATGTGCTCAGTAAAAGCTAATTAGGATAATTATCAGCTTTCCCAGGGCACAAAGCCCCCTTTCTTCCCACAGTAGGGTAGTATGAGGTCCCAGTACTCAGTCACTGATGCCCACAGGGTGTGTCTTGAGAGAGTACTGACCTCTCTACCCAGCTCTTGTAGCTGGGGATGTCCTTGGCATAGAGCAGCTTGTTGGAAGGTGAGTCCTTGCCCAGTCGGTGCTCTGACGTGGAGCAGGAATCCATGAAGGTCTGTGCCACCACAGAGAGGCAGGCATCTGTGATACTGCCTTTGTGGATGTCAAATACAAACTGGGGGTTCTTGATGACATTCACCCAGAAGCGCAGAGGGAGGCTGTTGGAAAAGGCAGAGCAGCCTGGAGGATGTACTTGGACACTGTCCCTTGTTAATATTCCTCCCTCACCCCTGAATGGTAGATGGCCATTATAAAAGGCAAGGGAATGAACTCAGACTGGTCCAGTAAAGGCTGCTAGCTTAGTCTACATGTTCCTGGCTGTAGGAGAAAGCAAAGGGGCCTCAGGCTTCATACCTTACCAGGGCACTGGCTCTGCTCCCTGACAGCTGAAGAGTGGGCGTGTCTGGGCTCTGTTTCTTCCTGGTTTTTCTAAAGTCCTCAGTACCCCAGGAGCAGGGCAAACAGAAAACAAAACAACTTTCTGAGAGCTTTAGACAAAGACACTAGGCTCCTGGAGTCCTTCACAGTGTTCGTAGTCATTATCTGGAAGGATGCTGCCAGCTGCCCAAGGCACTGCGTCGGAGGGGGCACAAAGGGTGCCACCTGCCCTCCCTGCCTAGCCTGCTGCTGAGCTGCTTCCCAGGGTTGGCCTTGGCGACTGGGCCAGGGAATGTGCTCCCTGTGGGGCAGGGTGAGTTCTTTCAGGGCTCTCCCCAGGGTTTTCTGTATCTAGACATGTCAGAGGGAGGGGAGGGGCTGTTGGCACTTGGGGAATGGCTCACTGTAGCTCTAAGTTTTTCCCGCCCCAAAAGGAACCCATCAGTAGTTAGGAGACTGACTGCCTATGAGACTCTAGAATCTAAAGGCAGAGAGGAATAGCTTTCTGAGGCCTTAGGTGGTAAGGCTGCCTTCCTTTAAAGCCAGAACAGCTGCTGTTTTGTCTCTTTTACAACGGTCTTTTAACTCTTTTGATGCCTGTTTGGAATTAACTCTGTCCTGGGCTTGCCCTTCTAGCCCAAGATAGTGGCCCTAGCTCTCCCTAGTCTCCTCTTTACCTTCTCCTGACTTTCATGGTCTCCAGACTTTCTAATGTCTTTCTAATGCTCGGTCTTGGGAAGATCAATGTTGCCCATCTCCCAGGCCTTCCATTGTGATCTCCACTTGTCCTCCAACCTGCAGCTTATTGCTCCATTTCCTGAAATTCGAGGAGCCAATGTTGGTGCAGCTCTTCTGCCCTTCCTTCCTCTAGCAGTGCTGGGCATGTTTAAATTGTTTTTCTTGGACCTTTGCTATGTGAGGTGGTCAGGTGACTCAGCTCTATCACACTAGGGGAGTACATTGCTGTTGTTTGAGTCTAGCCAGCCTGCAGAAGGCACAGAGATGAGGACAGCCTTGAATTTTCTCTCAATTTTCACAAAATTACTATTCCGAGTACTGGGCTGGGATCTTGCAAAGCAGGGGAGATATAATGGTCCTGCCTTGACAGAACACACTGTGCATTCCTCACTCACTATCACTGAGCCTCTCTGTCACTCCATTGTGACCAAAGTTGCAAAAAAGGAGGGCCCAGGGACCATAACACCCAGGGAAGGAAGGGAGAGTCCAGGGTTGGCTCTTTCCAAAGTATTTTGTTGGTTGCTAGGACTTTTGATTCCCAAATAACAGCCTGGACCCATCTGTGTCAGTTCTGTTTTCTGAAGATTGCTGACTCCAGACAGCTGCATGGGCTGCCTGCCCAACCCAAATGCTTTCTCCCTCTGCTCTTTGCTGGAGGAAGCCTTTTGACTCTGGCTCTTAGCCAAACTCTGTCTGACCTGAAAGCCAGGCCTTAGCATGGTCTGTGGTTCAGGTTCAAAACCCAGGAGGAAAAAGTTTCATGTTAGGCTGTTGGGAGCTGCTTTTCCCAGCACTAATCTGGATCAGGCAGTAACTTCAGCAAGAATCATGCCTTCAGGACAATCTTCCTGTTGCTTCTTGAAAGCTATGCTGCTGGGTAGAACTTGGCCTTAAGATCTCAAGCCTACAATGAAATCCTCATGCTTGTGGGTTTAAGTCTATAGCAAGTATAAGGCCCCTCACCAGCAATAGCCATCTTTACCAAGGGTCCTAATTCAGAAGTGCATCTCTCCGAATGCTCAATAGTGATGAACTAGGAAACTTCATTGCCTGGTTTCATGTGTAGCTCCTCCTTTTGATAACTAGAGGGCTCTATGTTAGGGAGAGTAAGCTCTCCTTGGGGAAGGGTCGCAACAGATAAGGGAGAGCTCAAGTGTGCCTAAAAAGGTCAGGCCAGGCAGGCCCCACTTAACCAGGCAGCCTGGGGACCATGTTAGCTCCGCACAGTGTGCATGCCCTGTGTTCTAGGAGCCTCTGATCACCCAGCCCCAGGTAAACCCAGCTGCCTCCCATCTCTAGTCTCTGTTGGGCCTCCCCAGGTGGCCCCCACTGAGTTCCCCTGGAGTTACCAGTTGCTCTTCCAGGTGTGCCGCACATCTGTGTCATGGATACTATGTCTGTCTGCCTGCTCATCCAGGAAATCAAACATGTACTTGATGGCCAGAGGGAGAGCGCTGCCCCGGTGCACAGTGCTGAACAGGGTCTCAAATAAGTCATCCACAAATTTCTGCAGGGTGCCCTGGGGGAAGCATAGGGAGACAGTGAGGTGGAGGGTGGGTGCCAGAAAGCAGAAGGGGGCATGTCAGATGGTACCTTGGATCCATCCTACCTTGGGAATTTGTGTAAAATGCAAGTGTGCAAATGGAGGGATGGGGGTGGGGCAGGTACTAGATGGGATTTGGGAAGTCATGAGAAGTGCCCAGCGAGTGTGGGCTTGGTAGGTAGAGCTCTGAGACCAGACTTTCCCAGAGTGAATGGGAGGGTTCAGGTTGTAAGGGATGCAAGGGAGTTTGATGACCAGGGATCACCTGCTCTTAGCATGATCAGGTTCAAAACCAGGTTCAGGTTCAAAACCCAGGAGGAAAAAGTTTCATGCTAGAGACTTTTTGAGCTGCTTTTCCCACCACTAATCTGGATATAAAGGTAACTTTAGCAAGAATCATGCCTTCAGGACATTTTTTCTAATGCATCTTGAAAGCTATGCTGCTGGGGTAAGAACTTGACTTTAAGATCACAAGCCTACAGTGAAATCCTCATACCTGTAATGACCAGGGCCTTCAGGGTGGGGAAGGGTCTCGACAGGAAGGATGAATAGCCTTAAGGTGTTAGTGTCCCGGGACACGTGGTGTCAGGAGCATAGGCTACAGGTAAAGTGTTTAGCTTCAAGAACACCAAGGCACAGCCCTGACATATAGGCTTCAGGGATTCTGGGAGGCAGTGACAAGCTTGGGCCTCATAGTTGACAGGCTTAAGGAATATTCTGGGGACCAAGAGACTCCCTGGCCTTTTCTGGTGTCTCTTTGCTGGTCTCTTATTTGTATGCTAGGCATATCAGGCAAAGTACAAATGGAGACATGGGTCTGACAGAGGTGCTCGGGGCCATTCTGGGAAAGTCTGAGAGCTTTAAGCCACTGGGTTGGAGTTCCTGTAGCATTGCTGTGGGGTCAGTGGGGATAGCATTTGTAGTCTAGCTGGATCCGTAAAGTATGGCATACTTGTTTTGTTCTCAGCCGCTGGGAAGGTAAGAGCATGCTGCCTACAACTCCCTCAGGCTAAAACGCAATGGGTGGGAAGAGGGAGTCTTCACTTAGATTGCTACTGCAACTGGGTCTTTCTGTTTTCTCTCCCAATGTGCCAGAAAGTGGTAGAAAAGGCAGTGGTGGCAGAGACCAGAAGAGCAGGAGAAAGCATGTGAAACGCTGCTGTTTGCTCCAAAGTATAGGGAACAACTTGGCCTGGGCAGAGCAGGAGTTACCTTGGTGGCCAGGAGCCGGGTCAGGTAGATCTCAGACACCATCTTGCTGCCCCGGTCACCCTCCTTCTGGTCACCATGATCATGGTTCTTCACCAGATGCCACACCTTGACTCCACTTTCTAGGTCTGGGGTGATCATGGGGACCCGAGACCGGAGGCTGTCAGGGCTGCCTGTGTACCTAAAGGAAGAATCTGTGCAGGGGGCAGGGGAAGGCCATAGTGAGGTGGGCCATTCTTTTGCTAGAAGCATCCTTCAAGAATTCCACCCACCCACTGCATCCATTCAGAATAAACCTGCTTCACCTTGAAAGGGCTCTTGGGATTGCGTATTTGGTGGATGGCTTTAGAGATCTTTGACTGGCCTGAGGACAGAGAGGTCTAAAATTCATTTCTAGTAAGATTTAGAAATTCTGAGAGCTCAGGGACTGGAGAAATGTCTCAGCAGTTAAGAGCACTGGCTTCTCTCGGAGAGGACCTAGGTTCAGTTCCCAGCACCCACATGGTAGCTAACAACCATCCGTAACCCCAGTTCCAGGGGTTCAATGTTCTTTTGACCTCTGTGGGCATTGCAAGACATAGGTGTATTTACATATATACAGGCAAAACACTCATACACACAAGATTAAAAAATTAAAGGGACTTGTGAGAGTTCAGAGACCTATGGGAATTCGGAGTCTCCTTTCCTCTGTTTCCAGTAATGAATAATCATCAAATAAAATGTCAACTGGACATATCCACAGAAATGTTAGAAAGCCTTCACACTGAGGGCTCAGTTGTAATGATCCTCTTGGTAGTTAACAGACACTTCTTTCTTGGGGCCTAGACTATGGCCCTTATTTTCTGAGCCCATTTGGAGCTACTGTGCTCAATCCTGTGGTATCCTTCATCTGGAAAGCCCAGTGCCTTTGAGGGTACATGGAACCAGACAAGACAAAGTAAGAGAGAATGAAACATGCTAACGTACTGTGCAGAGGACACTGGGGATTGGAACAACAACAACAACAAAATGATCAAGTTAGTGGCCAGACTAGAAGACTTTTGGGAAAAGGGATGCTATTATAAATTCAACCAGGGCCATAGGTACAAAGTAGGTTAGGTGAACACATCAGGGTGCCTCCCTGATCTAGGCCACTCCAACTCCTTTACCAGGTCTGGATAGCAAGGAAGGACTCATGGTGCCACCTACTGCCTCTTAGAGTAGACACATGTCCCTAATGAGTAGAGTCCTCAGGAGGAGGGAGGCAAACAAACCAGTACCTTTGTATGGAGGTATGACAGCTAGTATGGGCTTCTTGCTGGGACTGGGCGCAGGTGGTCTCTGGGGGTTACAGACACCTAGACTCTGTCCTGTTGCATTCTGGCTGCTTACCATATCTGCTAATGGATGTCCGAGAGATGCTGGCAGAGGCAGGGATGTTGTAGGAGGAAGTCTGCTTAGGGACCAAAGCCACCACTGACCTGTCTGACACCTGAGAAAGTCACAAAAAGACAGAATGGGTAAATGCAGGTGTCTAGAGAAGTTAATAGCCAAATACTTCTAGAGAGCTACAGAGAGTGGGTCGATAGAAGCTCAGGACTATCATAAACAACAATCACTGCCTGAGGTGGCTCTGATTCACCTGACATACACCTAATTTCAACTGGAACTCTAAGCAACTGAGTTGAGTCATGCACGATAATTTCAGTAAGTTAATATAAATGAAAGAATATGAATGATCTCATGAACAAATCTTATATTGATTAAATGTTTAAACTGATAATTTAGACTGAGTTAAATAAGGTAATATTAACATTAATTTCAGTAGTCTGTTTCCTCTTTTTTAATGGGGCTAGTGGAAAATTTAGACTGACACACATGGCTTACATTCTGTTTCTACTGGACAAAAGGGTTAGCAAGACTCAGCCTCCTGTCAACTTCATGAATTACAGTTATTCCCATTTTGAAGATGAGCGAATGGACGCACAGGTGGGCTAAGCCATGGCTTCAAAGTCTCATCATTAATGTATGAGAAAGCTGATATTTGTCTCCAGACCTGTAAGTCTTTAGCACACACATTCTCCTCATTAATTTCCTAATTTGGGATTTTATTTCAAGTCATACTGGTCTAAGGCCCATCTTTTCCTTCTGGCCTAGGTTGTATTATGCTTTGGCTATCTTGAATAGTTTCAGCAAAAGGGCAGTTGCCCTCGGGGAGTCTGGATAAAGATGGCACTTTGCCCTGTCCTCTGAGAAGATGCCAGCTCCAGCACACAGTGTTGGGGGAGGGCTGATGAATGAGGAACCATAGTGGAGACATTTGGGGCCATCTTGATTTAAGATTACCCTCTATCCAATAAAAACAGAGAATCCCCAGAATTGTGGCGATCCAATTAAACCCCTAACGCAGAAGGAATAAAACAGCTATAATAATGTTATGGACCATAAAACATTCCTATTAAACCATTTTTTATTTTAACAATTTTTATGAACTTTATAAGTTTGATTTATAGCTGCACTAGTCATAAAACCATCTTTCTGGGTCTTAAATTGTCAGTCTTTCTCTCCCACCAAAAAAGAATTAAATGTTGGGAAGTCAAACTATAAATGAACATTAGTGCTAACGAGATTCCCTGATAGCCAGCTTTAGTGGTGGTGTTTAATTTTACCCTCCCTATAAATCTGCAGGAGCCCAGACAGTTTTTTATAAAACCATCTCTTTGTTAATTAAGATGATGAGATTTTATTCTGCTGGGGCTCCAAGGCCCTTTGATACCAGGGAGGGTAGTAAGAGGACAGAGTGGATAAAGCTCCAGAGTCTGGAGGGTTCTATCACCTCCTGGCTGGGGCAGCTCTGAACTTGTCAGCAGTTTATACCGACAGCACAGTCTATGACAGAGGTGGGGCGGGAGCATTCAGGAATTCTTCTTGCTACCCATAGCCCAGAAATGCTACCCTGAAAGCCTGGCAAGGGCAGGAGTCTACATTCCCAGTAAGAACATATGGTATTATTTATGGTTTGTTGCCACCTAAAGGGAGATTCACAAGGTGACTCTCATGACCAGTTCTCCAAGGCTAGTCACTAAAGCGTTCTCTCTCTAACTTTTCACTCTTTCAGCCAATAGGTGGAGCAAACCCAAATTCAAGCTGCCTGGCTGGGTCTGGCCTTGGCTTTGATATTTACCAATGAGATGACTTAGCCTCCCTGGGCTTCCGTTGTTGAATTTGTCACTGGGGACAGTAATCATGTCTAGTAATCACTGTTGTGATTATTAAAGGAATTAAGACACACAAAAGCTGAGCAGAGTGCCTGGTACCCGGTGAGCACTCAGCATGTGTTGGTGTTAGTGTTGCCATTTTGAACACCACCACCATCATCATCTCCCAAAGGGAGGAAGACTCCCTGCTGCCCCTTTCACTCAGGGCTAGAGTGTGGGAAGTGCTTTGCACTTAGTAAGGCTCAGTAAATATTTGAGGAATGAATGAATATATGAATGATAAATGACAGGAGGGAACTGGAAGTGTTTTGTAAAACGAACACAATGAGAATGGGATATTCCATTCCTCTCATTGGGAGTCATGGGATGGGCCTGCCCTTCAGAGACACATGATTTGGTGGCACAAGGCTGTTCTCTTTTGAGCTTTCTCATTCAGTTCTAATTGTTCACCAGATGCCCTAACCATGTGATATGGTGGTAGTTGTCTATGTGTGTACAAATGATTCCTGCTGCTTTATATGTCACTGCAAATCTTGCATATGTGAACCTGTTTCTCATTTTTCCAGCTAGCTCCGTGCCTTCTGTCAGGCTGCTCTAGTCTCTACACCTCCCTTACTTGGGGCTGAGCTCTAGGCACGGGAGATGCAGGGAGGCAGACTTGTATCCCCAGTGCTGCAGCTTTCTTGGTGCTGCCAGGCTCCTAGCCAGCTCCAGGGCCTTCCAGCGTCTGGTCATTGGCAGCTCAGTGCTTACCATCCCAGCCTGCCAGACTCTCTGCATGCCTCCCTTTGTAAACTGGGGGCATAGGAGGACGTTATTAATCAGACAATCCTGTGGGTCTTTGCAGCCCGAGGCATTTCCTCTGGTTGGCTTAATTTCCTTCAGTGTCTCTCATTTCCGGTTTCTATTTTGGTACTTTTCTTGAATCCCAATCTGTCTACCTGTGCTTAATCTTACAGAGAGCCCCCCAAGCTATGGGTGGTTCCCTTGGAGGGAAGTAGGGTGGGGCAGATGCTTATGTTCTTTTGCTGGGATTTTTCTGACTGCTCATTCTATGTGTCTCCTGGTATACAAACACATCACCTATCATCTTTTACACTGAATCTAATCCTCACACATGCAGGGGCAGGAATTACTAGGAGCACCCCTCACAGGTAAGAAGAAAGAGAGCTTAAGTAGTATTTCCAAGAACACCAACTAATAAGCTGTAGCTCTTTTTGTTTTTTTTTTTGTTTTGTTTTTTTTGTCTTTTTTGAGACAGTGTCTCCCTGCAGCCCCAGCTGGCCTGGAACTCACTTTTTCCAAGAACACCAACTAATAAGCTGTAGCTCTTTTTGTTTTTTTTTGTTTTTGTTTTTTTTTGTCTTTTTTGAGACAGCGTCTCCCTGCAGCCCCAGCTGGCCTGGAACTCACTATGTAGACCAGGCTGGCCTTGAACTCACAGAAAGCTGCCTGCCTCTGCCTCCCAAGTGCCGGGACTAAAGGTGTGCACCACCACGCCCGGCAGTAAGCTGCAGATCTTAAGACCCGAGGACAAGTCTGTACCCTGTTCTGCTGCAAGTCAAGAGATCCAGTGGCATTAGTATAAGGCCAGAGAAAGTGAGTACCAGACACTTTCCTGGGGCTGTCCAGGTGGAGGACTTTGTAACATGTTGTCCTTTCTACGGATGTAGAGATACACAGGACAGAAATGCCTGTTAGATTCATTCTGAGGGCAGAGTCTGAGGACCCATGTTTTGTAAACTCCCTCAATCTAATAAGCAGCTACAGCTGAGCATCACTGCTCTAGACACAGGGAAGAGGAAGAAGAGGGAGAAAGGAAAGGACCTTATAGGCTTTTGAGGCCTTCTAGCAGGGTTGAGAGGGAAGAGGACATTCCAGGGGAGAGTCATAGGGAGTGGGCTGCCCTCACCTGGTAATGCATCAGTGTGTTGAGCCGCTTCCAGTCACCTTCGATCTTGGTGGTAATGTCTTCGTCCTGCAGCACCACCCGGGCGATCCGGCCTTGGCGCCACTCTGGGTGAAGGTGGTACAGGCAGCAGTGTGAGAGGGGTAGGGTCTATGAGCCAGGGTCTGTGTGTCCTCTAGAGATCTAGTAACCCTGTCTCCACTGGCTGATGTCAGTGATAGAGCTTAGAGACATCCAAAGCTCCATGAGGTCAAGATAGAGATGGGACAGACCCACATTTCAGTAGGCAGAACCCAGGGGAAAACTGCTTCCCATGGCCTTCACTTGGCTAGGACCCAGTCTTGTGGGGGCTTTGTACAGAGCAGAACTTCACATCCCTTTTTTCTAGCCGTCTCATAGCCTGACAGCTCTCTGGGGGGTTCACGGTCCTCCTTACCCTCCCACTCCAACTCCAGGTTCCTACCCAGGTCCATATCAACAGCCCTTGGCCGCTGGGAGTAGGGAACATTCTTATATACTGCATCGAGGATCTTCTCCTTGACCTGTGTGATGGTGTCACAGTTTAACACCTTTACTGGGATCTCTGGGCTGTTCTCATTGTCCGGGTTGACGCAGTTCAGGATCTGTAAGTAGGGGATTGAGGGTAAGCCAGTCATAGTTGGGAAGCAGTATAGGAGAGGGGTTGAGACCGTCTTCCCAGGTTTGCCCTCCTTATGTGAGGAATGATGGTCTCTGTCCTGAGCCTTAGTTTCTTTCTTCCTATCACCTACATTGTGAGAGCTGAAGCCAAGGTGTTAATCCTTCTTTGTCAAAAAAGGTGGTCTCTACTTCCTGGTTGGCTTAGGGGAAGGTTCAAGATGGATTCACGGATGTCAAGGGCTGGCGTTACACTCCCCCTAGTTTCTACACTAGGCATTGGCACACTTGGATTCTTTCCTTGCTAATTATGCCATCTAAAATGGTGACTTTTTCTCTCTTGGTATCATCTAGGGTAAACTGAGGTACAGGCGGGTTTTTTGGCCCACCAGATGAGGTGAGGGAAAGAAGGTCTGCCTTGCTCTTCATATACTTGGCATGGCCCTGTGGACTGCCCAAGATTGGTCCCTTAGCCTTTGTGATCCCTGCAGATGGCCTTATGGGTTGGAAGATAGAGTAGGGACAGCCACAGGGGTACTGGGGGTTTGGCCCCCTCACCAGAGTCTTGTACTCGATCTGCTGCCGGATGAGCTTGTCCTCACTTAGGGAGTAGCGGGCCTCGCCGGTGATGGCGTCGATGGGGCCTTTCTCCATCTGCTGCTTGATGGCACAGTACAGCATGAAGAGAGGCTCCCCTGCACACTCCTGCGGGCACATCAGGTGGGGGATGTGGGCTCTGCCTGGCCCTTTCTGACTGTCTCTGCACGGGGAGAGTCTCAGGCAGGCCAGGGAGTCCCTGTTCCTGGGGGCCAGGTCCCCATGGTGTCCCCAAGGCCAGGCTTTGTGGTTGGCTTTGGCCCTCCCTCTCACCTTCAGGAACTTGTGCAGCAGGAAAGCAAACCAGTTGGTCAGCATCTTCTCAGCCACAGACTCAGTCCTGGGGAAGGCAAAAGGGTAAGGGACCACCCTTTACACAGTTGTCCAGTGATGTAGCCTAGGCTTGTCGTGGGTGCGTGTGTGTGTGTGTGTGTGTGAGAGAGAGAGAGAGAGAGAGAGAGAGAGAGAGAGAGAGAGCGAGCTCAGGGCTGAGACAAATAACTGTAACCTACCTGGACTCCCGCAGCAATTAAAAGTGGGACATGGCTAGAAATAAGCTCTTCCTCATACTCAGCTAGAAGTCACCTAGGACTCAGTCTCCTGAGACCCTGGAAGTCTGGGACATGTCATCCTTGCTACTTGGCAGTACCACAAACTGTGTTGGCAGCAATGGGTGTGGGTTGCAGACACAAGCCCATTCAATAGGCTATAAAGTATCAGTTTCCTCACCCCTTCTGGTCTCAGCAGGTGATGAAGAGCATCTGCCTGTTCTTCTGGCGTCTCTGCATATTCCGTGGTGCCTACCTGCCCCTCCAAATACAGTCAATCTGCCACAAGTTCAAATCCTCACTTTATCATTTACAGGTTGTGTGACCTTAGGCAAGTTATTTAACCTATCTTGGTTCAATTTTCCCCATCTCTACATGGGGACACTCATAAATTGTTAGATTTGAATGGGTTAAAGTATTTAAAATGTGAAGAATAACACTTGGCCGCTAGTAAACACTGTAAATATGAGCTATTACCACTGTGGTCTATGTGCTCTCTGGGATCCCAGCCCTGTAGGTAGAGCAGTGCTTAAGAGTTTAGCCAACAGGGAATCTGTTTCTGTAAGCACTACCTCCTTCCCCTCCCCATCCCCCAGGCTGAAGATCTGGGGCTTGGGAAGAAACAAAGCAAATCGGCTGTGACAGACCTTGTTGATGGGGATGCCGAGGGATAGTTAAACTCCTCACACGTGGTGCAAATTATACCCTCTGGCTGCAGTAAACCCCAGGCTTTTGCCAGGACTGCTTAGCAGTAGGGCCTGGGAGAGAGTGATGATGGCAGGAGAAATTGCAGCTTTCTCTGTGGGTCCTCCCAGCACCCTCTCCCTGCTTTGTGCTTGAGATTAGCTCTAATTTAAATACAACAGCTCTTAATGAGAGTTTCCAGTTCTTAGACTGGCAGGATGGGGGAATCAGTGCTCAGTTAAACAAAGCTACCCCATGTGGGGCCTGTATGCCTGAGACCTGTGAGCAGAAGGTGTCTGAGGAGGAGCCTGAGTGGAGGTGGCAGACTCAGTCCCTGCTACCCAGAGCTCCAGAGCTGTGCCTGTGCAGGGGAGGGTTGGGTCTCCAAAAGCCCTGTCAGGAAAATGGCAACTAAGGCAGGTAGTAGATGCTGGCAGTTCCAAGCCAAGAAGTTGGATGCTAAATGTGCTCCAAATTTCTAGCTCAGCCTGTCTACTGGATCTGAATGATGGTTGAAATGGTCTGTCTGTGCTGTCTAATATGGTGGCCACCAGCCAGAATGCCTGGACACTGGGAATGTGGTCAGTGAGATGGAGAAATTGAAGTCCATATTTTTAGTTAATAGTTTCATATGGCCAGTGGCTTCCATCCTGAGGTACACAGCTCTAGAAGGAGAGGGAAGGATGTAGACTGAGAGACATGTATTGTTTCATGTCTATGAGGAAACGAAACCAGAGAGGCAGCACCATTGACCCCAAGCTCACAGAGACAGGGGGCAGGATTGGTGTTCAAGCTGAGCTCTGACCCTAACCTATGTTCTCCATCATACCTGGGTAGAAGTGAGCTAGTAGCATTTTCCCAGGATCAGCAGATCAGATTTCATACAGGGCAGATGTGAGAACACAGGCTGTCCTGCGTGGAGGTCATTTCTGGGGGTAGGGATACAAAGGGCCTTTCTAACTAGGTGCCCTGCCCTGTTCAGTTACTGGCTGTCCTCCCTTTGCTATGGGTCAGACCTGCGGAGAAGCAGCTTGGGGTGGTTCTTGTTCTCCAGGTTCTTGTCAATGAGGTCAGACAGCAGCTGCTTGAGAACATCAGTGGCATATTCCAGGCGGCCCTGCAGGCCCGTCATGATGAGTGAGGCCACGTTGCCGCGGTCTCGCATGGAGAAGCTACGCTGAAGCTCTAGTGTGCGGATGAAGGTCAGCAGGAACACCTTGTTGTTGATGAGCTGGGCGAAGAGCTTCAGGGCTTTCTCCACATGTTGCTGTCCATTCCCCTGCACCTGGGTATGCAAGATGACCCTCAGGGGGGGCAGGCTCTGGATGCCTACCCAGGCCCTCAGGACCTGCTAGTGATGATGCTTACTAGAGAACCCTCTCATTGAGACTCAAGCTGTTTTGTTCCCCCAAGCTAATATTGAGGGACTGTTCTCTGAAGACTGTAGTCCTCTGTAACCCCTTTGCTGGGCTGGGAGGTGAACTACTGAGCAGCATTTGGAAGGGATGCACCTTATTTCCCAAGGGTCCAAGAGGAGATGATCCATCAGACTTCCCCAGCTTATTTATCACCTTTTAATCTCCTCTACCCTGACTCATTGTCTTCAGTAAACAAACCAACAAATGAACAAACACGCCTCAGAGCCCTATGTCTTTCTTTAATCCTCCTTAAATCCATGCTAGAATGAGGCAAGATCTTAGTTAATTAATTCAGCCATTAATCAGAAAATGACAATGAGATCCTGAATTGTCCCCATTGCTTGGTACCCTTAACCACGACCTTTTTGGTGTTCCTACTGTTGTGGTTCTGTTAAACTACTGGACCTTTTCTCTCCTAGCCCTACTCCATGCTGCTCCAGCCCCCTCACCCCCCGAACTGCTGGGAAGCTCCAGCTTGCATCTCTAGGAGATGGGCAGTACCTCAAGTTCCCGCAAGACTGGGTGGTCTTCAATGCCTGGGAACAGGACTCGCATGGCATAGGTGCGGTAGTCTAGGTAGGGGATTCCCGATCGATCCAGGTCACTGGTTAGCTCATTGATGTCTGTCTGAAGCTCCGCAAAAGCTGTGAGAGTGAGCAATTCAGGGAGGCTCAGAAGGAACTCAGATCAGGGGACAGGAGATAGGGAGAAGCTTGTCTGAAGGATGAGGGGAGCTGCAGTGTATGGTAGAGAGTGATGGTAGAGAGGCTATATGTTGGATTCTAAAGATTACCTCAAAGGTGTGGTCCTCAGCTTGGCACTACTGGAGGTGGTAGAAATGTTAAGAGGTAAAGCCTAAGTGGGAGGTCTTAGCTGATTGGTCTTAGCTGTGTGCATGTGTTCCTTAGTGCAGGGGAGTGTAGGACCCTGTCTCTTCTCTCACCATTGATCATTCATTTTCCAGCCATGAGGTGAGCAGTTGCTCAGCCATACGCAGGCCTAACAGCAACAGGGCTGTAGATCATAGATGGAAACTTCTTGAACTATGAGCCAAAATAACCCTTTTCCTTTTTAAAATGTGCATATGCAGGTGCACATACGTGTGAGTGCCTGTGTACGTGTGTGTGTAGAGGCCAGGGGACATTTTGTGTGTCATACTTATAAATACCACCCACCCTTCTTTGAGATAGGGTTGCTTACTGGCTTGGAGTTCACAAAGTAGGCCACACAGGCAGGCCAGTGAGCCGCAGGGATCCCCCTGTCTCTGCTTGCCCTGTGCTGAGATTACAAGCAAGTGCCACCATGCCTGCCTGGTGCCTGTGGAGGCCAGAAGAGGGTTTCAGATCCCTGGAACTGGAGTTACAGCCAGTTGTGAGCTGTCATATGGGTGCTGGGAACTGAACTCAGGTCCTCTGCAAGAGCAACAGGTGCTCTTAATTCCTGAGCCATCTCTCTAGCCCATCTCTTCTGGAGATCAATCTCAGGTCTTCATGCTTGTGACTGAACTATCTCCCAGCCCACCCTCTTTCTCTTTTGAAGTTTATTATCTCCACTATTTGTTATAGTGACTGGAAGCTGGGTAACATGCTATCTAACTTAGGTGATAAGAAGATGGGTGATTTTTATGTCTTCCATGTTCATCTATAATTTTGATTTTTCCTTCTACATATTGCAAGTGTGGCTAAAATGCAGAAAAGAGAACACCATGACTTGAGCACTTTGCAGGTATTAGAAGCAGGGGAAATGGTACTAGGGATCCAGCAAAAGCCAGATCAGGCAAATTGCTGTCAGTCCCCAAGCAAGAAGACAAACTGTATTATTTTTCTGTTGCTGTCATAGAAACACTGACAAAAGCAATTTATAGAAGGAAGAGTTTATGTGAGCTTATGGTTCCAGGGGAATTACAGTCCATCATGGCAGGGAGGCATGGTGGCAGAGGTGGCTGGAGCAGAAGCAGAAGCTGAGCTCTACATCTTCCAACCGGCACAGGAAGCAAGAGAGCGACTGGAGATCCAGCAAGCCTTAAGAGCTCTCTAAGCCCACCCCCAGTGACCTGCTTCCTCCAGGACAGCCACACCTTCTAAAACCTCCCAAAACAGCGCCACCATCTGGGGACAGAATGTCCAAATACTTGGAGCCTATGGGGGACATTTCCATTCAAACCACCACACAAACCAAGATTGAAAATCCTGGGAAGCCCCATCGATCAGATGCTCAGCCCATAAGTGAGTCCAGGCAGTGAAGAACTTTCCTGGGTTTCTGGACAGAGCTAACTCTGCTGGCTTTGGGCTGGGGCCTCTGTCCCATCTCTCTCAGCACAGCTCTTCCTTGTTGTCCAGTAGTTGCTTGCTTATGAAAATGCTATTTGCAGCAAAAGGAGAAATGTTTTGATTCCAAATTGAGATGTTTAACCAGAGAGTCTGCCAGGTCCTTAGCCTGAGAGAGGGCCAGGTACGTTTGTTACCCTATGGCTGTGTCTGCGTGGGAGATGGGATAAAACATAATCTCTACTCCTACACACGTTCACGGCCAAGGTTGCCAGCAAGCATGGTCTTTGGAGCACTGAGTCTGCAATGCTGATAGAAAACAAACCGTGGGGAGGTGATGGATCAGGAAGGAAGCAGGGCTCTCCTGCTGTGGCTTCCACATACTGCAAAGGTGCCTGGTGACTGCCAGGAGCCAGATAGGCACTGAAAGAAAATCTGGTCTGAGCCAGTGAGGCTTGGTAGGCCTTGACTGTGGGGACATAGTGGCCCTGAGAGGGAGAGGGAGATGACCAGACTGTGGGTTGAATCAGTAGAAAAAGGAAGGGGACCCTAAGGTATCACTTTACTCTAATCAGACTGGCTAGGATCAAGAGAACAAATTGATACCAAATGCTGGCGGGATGTGGAGAAAGGGGAACGCTCATTCACTGCTGGTGGGATTGTAAACTCATGTAACCTCTAAGGAAAACAGTGTGGCGAACTCTTAAACTAAAAACGAACCTACCATATGAGCTGGTTATACCACTCCTTGGTATATACCCAAAGGACTCATCCTATTGTAGAGACACTTGTACAACCATGTTTGTTGCTGCTCTTTTCTTAATAGCTAAGAGATGGAAGCAACCTAAGTGCCCCTCAACTGATGAGTGGTTAACAAACGTGGTATATTTACACAATGGAGTTCTATTCAGCAGTAAAGAAAGATGAAATGAAATTTTCAGGTAAATGGATGGATCTAGAAACTGTTATACTAAGTGAAGTAACACAGACTCAGGAAAACAAACCACGTATGTTCTCCCTCATATGTGGATCCTAGCACCAAATCCTTTTAAATTCCAGGTCCTTTTAATAAGATGATGCTATACAGCAGTTCCTTCTGCATGAAATAACTACTTCATCACGACTTCAGCTGAACCTGGTCATTAACTGGGCTTGTTGACGGTTGTGTTCATTAATTAAAGGAGGGCCAAGCAGGGTCATTGGACCCTCACCAGATTATCCACCC